CAATCAAAATCGAGGACAAGATTATAGAACATAATTGGCATATGCCAATAAAGAAATAGCCAATTATTCAGTCAATCAATCAATCAATCAATCAATCAACCAATCAATCAGTCAATCATTCATTCATTCATTCCTTCAATCAATCAATCAGCAAATGAAATATCCCTATTAAAGTTAGTTACGTCATAATGCAATTAATTGAATGTCAAATATGTTGTTATTCAAAGAACAATCTGTGAACAAGACTAGTATCTGCATTACTATATATAGAAGGATGTCGGACAGATTATAATTTATGGATGAACTAATCAAGTATATTATAACAGGCCTCGGATTTTGGCGTGAACTTTACTCATCCATTTGGATGAATAGATTCATAGCGTTATAGCTGATACTGGTTTGTGATGAAAACTTGAAATCTAATTCCTCATACTGATTTATAACTTTCATTTCGTCCTAATTATCAGGTGGACACACTCAGGGTCAGTTTTTCGTCGTTCAAAGGTCGTTCATAAATTATAGTCTCTCTAATATAAAGCCAAAATCAAACAAATCCACTTATAATCTAATCTCCAACATCTCCTCAGAGTGAATAGTAATGATCACATTTCTAAGAATTTAATTCTCAGAATCTCCTATATGATTGTAGGCTAATAGAACAGGTTCACTAGAACTATATAAGTTCTAGTGAGAAGCCGTGACCAGTGGAGCTAATCCTTGTCGCGTAGAGACAGGTATCTACCTCAGTACAACGGAAGTTGGTCGCGCAATTTCGTGGATTGGTTGATGTCAGAAACTATCACCATTGGATGCCGGTTCAGTGGTCCAGTTGGTTAAGCGTTCGCGCGCGATACCGAAGGCCCTGGGTTCACGAGTGGGATCGTGGATGCGCACTGTTGAGGAGTCCCACAATAGGACGAAACGGCCGTCCAGTCCTTCCAGGTTTTCAATTGTGATGGTCTTACATCAAGTGGTTCATGATCTCAATCAAAAAAATATATAAGATTTTGTTGACAAGGAATATTTCATGTCTTCATAGAAGTCTAACTTGAATCATCCACCTTTATGAACATAAATTCATTACTACTGGGTCATAGTTCTTTTACATAGATTTATATTCCTATAGTAACCAATATCATATTTGTCCGATCTTTACTATTGATCAAAATCAATCTATCGAATATCATTGTGATCATTCATTGAATCAATTTGACAGTATATGTACTATATGGTTAAAACAATCGATTAAAAATTCTAAATTTAGAACTTTACTCTAGTTGACATTTTTCACAAATAATTTGATCATTGAATTAGCAAAGTAAAGATCGTATTCCTACAATTGAAGAACATATACAACTCAAAACAACTATCTATCAATCCATATCAAAATCAGAATCTTCAATACGAACATCAAGGCAGTTCTACTGTATGGAGCTGAGACTTGCAGAACTACTACAATCATCATCAAGAAGGTACAAGTATTTATAAATAGCTGTCTACACAAGATACTCAACATCCATTAGCCGGATACCATCAGCAACAGCCTTCTATGGGAGAGAACAAACTAACTTCCTTCTGAAGAAGAAATTAGGAAAAGATGTTGGAAGTGGATAAAACATACATTGAAGAAATCATCAAACTGCATCACGAAGCAAGTGATACCTTGGAATCTTGAAGGGTAGCGGAAAAGAGAAAGGCCAAAGAACACATTACGTCAGAAAATAGAATCAGATATGAAAAGGATGAATAACAACTGGAAAGGATTGTCCAGTACAGAGTTGGATGAAGAATGCTAGTGGGTGGCCTATTCTCCTGCACGAAGAGTAACAGGCGTAAGTAAGTAAGTAAAATAAATGTTACAAGTGGTTACTACGCAGTAAGTAATCAGTGAAAATGTTTCTAATAATTAGAAATAATTGAATGTATAAATTAATTATTACTTAATAATTGAATTCATGAGTCAATTGAAGCTAGACCATCATAGAAAACCTGGAAGCATTGGACGGTCGTTTCACACTAGTATGGGACTCCTCAGAAATGCATACCAACGATCCTACCCCGTGAGATTCGAACCAAGGACCTATCAGTCTCGCATGCGGACGTTGAATAGTCAAATACTTGGATGAAACGGCTGTCTAGTGCTTTCAGATTTTCCATGGTGGTTTAGCTTCAATTGACTCATGAATTCAATTATTAAATAACTACAATCTCTACAATACCCCTTTCTGTTTATTATTGTTATTTGTGATAAGAATAGCCACATCAATATTTTTTCACAGGACAGATACGTACCAGTTGCCTACGCAAAGTACTTCGGATCCGTTGGTCAGACACCTACAGTAACAACTTACTGTGGAAGAGAACAAACCAGATTCTAGTGGAGGAAGAAATGGGGAAGAAGCACTGGATGTGTATCGGACACATATTGAGGTAACCATCCAACTACGTCATAAGGCAAGCCCTCACTTGGAGTCCTCCAGGACGAAAGAGAAGAGGAAAACCAAAGAATACATTACGCTGAGAAATGGAGAAAGACATGAGAAGAGTGAAGAACGAATGTATAGAACTAGAAAGGAAAGCCCAAGACAGAATACTGGTCGACGGCCTATGCTCCTTCACGAGGAGTAACAGGCATAAGTAAGTAATGAATGAATGAATCAAATAAACTTTATTCTAATAATAATCATTTAATACTGTAATTTCAATGAAACAATCAACTTCAACTTCATCTGTTTATATAAATATAGAATCGATAAACTAATAAACTGATACTACCATTACAATCATCTCTCTGTAGATAAGACAATAAAGAACCAATGTAATTCATTCATCTTAAGAGGATCTTTAATTTTCCAATTCTAGATAAACGCTGTATGATCCCGTTTATACATTCCATGTCAACCACAAATGATCTTACACAGGCATATTATTGAGATGGTGGAGAAGATTTGTAGCTCAGGTGGATAATTTTGATCGACCAAACTATCCAGATCAGAGAACAACACTCCATCACAGGCATATATATATATATAATATAGATCGGTCAGAAATGTTTATTATTTGAGTCTGTTTTGTTTAAGTATCAATATGATGATAAGCAATTGATGAGAATGTACAAAATGAGAAGGATTCATATTGTTCAAATGTTATTATTGTTTTATTCAAATCACAATTTTATGAGCATGAATTGACCTTCTTGACCTTAAACCTGCTTAGGTCATACTGGATAAATAAACTTGGATACAATGTAATCCAATTAGATTTCAGGTCACAAAGGTTAACTTGTGCTAATAGTATCTTTTTTCATTATTTTATAACCGTTGAAAAATGAGTGTAATGGAAGTATACTTAAGTCTTTCTATAAATTACTAATGTCGTATATATTTATCAAATCCGTTTAAACTTAAAGATGATTGAATCTTGAGATTAGATGGTGGTTGGAGGTAGTCGACAGGAAACCCTGCACCCGGATTTCGTGCTACTTGGCACTCGTCAGCAAGGTGTACCTGTAATCTTGGGGGAATTGGTGCTTCCTGGTGGATTCGATGTTGTGTCATCCAGCTTTACAGTCAGAGACGTTGCCATTGAGCTATCCGGGCCGCGACCGACCTCCTGTAGGACTGAGATTTATTCACAATTGCTTGATCATTGAGTGGTGATCAATGTCATATGTGTCAAGTCCTTATTAGTGCAGATTGAGTGCTATCGGGATCGAATGCGTCAGGGATTACCAGGTCCTTCAAGATTACAGGTACACCTTGCTGACGAGTGCCAAGTAGCACGAAACCCGGGCCCAGGGTTTCCTGTCAACTACCTCCAACCACCATCTAATCTCAATATATAGCGCCCGCAATGTCGAGTCACCTAGACTGGTGGCCACATTGCAACATGGTCGATAGCATTCTATCTGGACTAAATGAGGACAGGGCACAGATGACATTGATCACCACCCAGGGATCAATCAGCTATGATGATTGAGTGTTGAAGAAGAATTGTAAATAAAATAGAGAATTGATTGAATAAATACTTAAGTTATACATCTTCTCATGTTGATCTCCCACTAATTAATAAATGTTATGAAATTGGAAACAAGATCAAAAATTAATGTTATAATCAAAGAAGGGATTTTGTGGATATTATAGTAATTTTAATAGTTTGAGATCATGAGTCAATTGAAGCTAGACCATCATGGAAAAACCTGTACGGTCTCCCAAAGGTATTTCTTGGAGTTCTAGTAACAAGATATGGCCAGTGGAGTTCAACCAGGTTTGTTGTGAGATCATAACTCAATGATGACAATGTTGGACGGTGGCACAACTTTGAGAATTGGTTGAAGTTAGACATTAACACCGTTGGATACCAGTCAGCTTAGTGGTCTAATGCTTAAACGCTCGCGCGCGAAACTGATAAATCCTGGATTCGAATCTCGCCAGGCGGGATCGTAGACGCGGACTGTTTAGTAGTCTGACAATAGGACGATATGTCCGTCCAGTACTTTTAGGTATGGCCTCGCTTTAACTGACTGATGAACTAAACTATTGAAATCGATCAATTAACTTAAATGATAATCTATCATAAACTAAAATGTTTTTAATTCTAGAATTCACATTGAGCAAATGTAACATATGGATGTATTCACTTCCTATTACTTTCATTCATACACACTTTACATTCAATCATGTCCTCATTTTAGGTGTAAAACATTGTTAAGTATTGTAGTTTATTTAAACAATTAAACTAACCAACTAACTAAGTAACGATCACATTTCAAAACTATGCACAATTTATAGGCTAATATAGATATTTACAATAATGATACTACTACTATTACTACTATTGTAGTGAACAAGAACACCAGTGGGGAACAATCGAATGTGCTCAACACAAAATTACAGGACTTCGTTGTTCCTGCATTTTTATACAAATTGCATCTTGTTTCCATTCTTTACTGTTCGGTCCTCCTGTCTCACTGTTGCCAGACCTTCTGTTCACGACTAACATCATATACTACTTATGTCAATATAAGTAGCATACACCACACTACTACTACTACTACTACTACGACTACGACTACGACTACTGCTACTACTACAACTACTACGACTACGACTACTGCTACTACTACTACTACTACTACTACGACTACGACTACGACTACTACGACTACGACTACTACTATTACTACGACTACGACTGCGACTACGACTACGACTACGACTACGACTACTACGACTACGACCACGACTACGACTACGACCACGACTACGACTACGACCACGACTACGACTACTATGACTACGACCACGACTACGACTACGAACACGACTACGACTACTATGACTACGACCACGACTATGACTACTACGACTACGACTACGACTACGACTACGACTACTACTACTACTACTACTACTACTACTACTACTACTACTACTACTACTACTACTACTACTACTACTACTACTACTACTACTACTACTACTACTACTACTACTACTACTACTACTACTACTACTACTACTACTACTACTACTACTACTACTACTACTACTACTACTACTACTACTACTACTACTACTACTACTACTACTACTACTACTACTACTACTACTACTACTACTACTACTACTACTACTACTACTACTACTACTACTACTACTACTACTACTACTACTACTACTACTACTACTACTACTACTACTACTACTACTACTACTACTACTACTACTACTACTACTACTACTACTACTACTACTACTACTACTACTACTACTACTACTACTACTACTACTACTACTACTACTACTACTACTACTACTACTACTACTACTACTACTACTACTACTACTACTACTACTACTACTACTACTACTACTACTACTACTACTACTACTACTACTACTACTACTACTACTACTACTACTACTACTACTACTACTACTACTACTACTACTACTACTACTACTACTACTACTACTACTACTACTACTACTACTACTACTACTACTACTACTACTACTACTACTACTACTACTACTACTACTACTACTACTACTACTACTACTACTACTACTACTACTACTACTACTACTACTACTACTACTCCTACTACTACTACTACTACTACTACTACTACTACTACTACTACTACTACTACTACTACTACTACTACTACTACTACTACTACTACTACTACTACTACTACTACTACTACTACTACTACTACTACTACTACTACTACTACTACTACTACTACTACTACTACTACTACTACTACTACTACTACTACTACTACTACTACTACTACTACTACTACTACTACTACTACTACTACTACTACTACTACTACTACTACTACTACTACTACTACTACTACTACTACTACTACTACTACTACTACTACTACTACTACTACTACTACTACTACTACTACTACTACTACTACTACTACTACTACTACTACTACTACTACTACTACTACTACTACTACTACTACTACTACTACTACTACTACTACTACTACTACTACTACTACTACTACTACTACTACTACTACTACTACTACTACTACTACTACTACTACTACTACTACTACTACTACTACTACTACTACTACTACTACTACTACTACTACTACTACTACTACTACTACTACTACTACTACTACTACTACTACTACTACTACTACTACTACTACTACTACTACTACTACTACTACTACTACTACTACTACTACTACTACTACTACTACTACTACTACTACTACTACTACTACTACTACTACTACTACTACTACTACTACTACTACTACTACTACTACTACTACTACTACTACTACTACTACTACTACTACTACTACTACTACTACTACTACTACTACTACTACTACTACTACTACTACTACTACTACTACTACTACTACTACTACTACTACTACTACTACTACTACTACTACTACTACTACTACTACTACTACTACTACTACTACTACTACTACTACTACTACTACTACTACTACTACTACTACTACTACTACTACTACTACTACTACTACTACTACTACTACTACTACTACTACTACTACTACTACTACTACTACTACTACTACTACTACTACTACTACTACTACTACTACTACTACTACTACTACTACTACTACTACTACTACTACTACTACTACTACTACTACTACTACTACTACTACTACTACTACTACTACTACTACTACTACTACTACTACTACTACTACTACTACTACTACTACTACTACTACTACTACTACTACTACTACTACTACTACTACTACTACTACTACTACTACTACTACTACTACTACTACTACTACTACTACTACTACTACTACTACTACTACTACTACTACTACTACTACTACTACTACTACTACTACTACTACTACTACTACTACTACTACTACTACTACTACTACTACTACTACTACTACTACTACTACTACTACTACTACTACTACTACTACTACTACTACTACTACTACTACTACTACTACTACTACTACTACTACTACTACTACTATACTACTACTACTACTACTACTACTACTACTACTACTACTACTACTACTACTACTACTACTACTACTACTACTACTACTACTACTACTACTACTACTACTACTACTACTACTACTACTACTACTACTACTACTACTACTACTACTACTACTACTACTACTACTACTACTACTACTACTACTACTACTACTACTACTACTACTACTACTACTACTACTACTACTACTACTACTACTACTACTACTACTACTACTACTACTACTACTACTACTACTACTACTACTACTACTACTACTACTACTACTACTACTACTACTACTACTACTACTACTACTACTACTACTACTACTACTACTACTACTACTACTACTACTACTACTACTACTACTACTACTACTACTACTACTACTACTACTACTACTACTACTACTACTACTACTACTACTACTACTACTACTACTACTACTACTACTACTACTACTACTACTACTACTACTACTACTACTACTACTACTACTACTACTACTACTACTACTACTACTACTACTACTACTACTACTACTACTACTACTACTACTACTACTACTACTACTACTACTACTACTACTACTACTACTACTACTACTACTACTACTACTACTACTACTACTACTACTACTACTACTACTACTACTACTACTACTACTACTACTACTACTACTACTACTACTACTACTACTACTACTACTACTACTACTACTACTACTACTACTACTACTACTACTACTACTACTACTACTACTACTACTACTACTACTACTACTACTACTACTACTACTACTACTACTACTACTACTACTACTACTACTACTACTACTACTACTACTACTACTACTACTACTACTACTACTACTACTACTACTACTACTACTACTACTACTACTACTACTACTACTACTACTACTACTACTACTACTACTCCTACTACTACTACTACTACTACTACTACTACTACTACTACTACTACTACTACTACTACTACTACTACTACTACTACTACTACTACTACTACTACTACTACTACTACTACTACTACTACTACTACTACTACTACTACTACTACTACTACTACTACTACTACTACTACTACTACTACTACTACTACTACTACTACTACTACTACTACTACTACTACTACTACTACTACTACTACTACTACTACTACTACTACTACTACTACTACTACTACTACTACTACTACTACTACTACTACTACTACTACTACTACTACTACTACTACTACTACTACTACTACTACTACTACTACTACTACTACTACTACTACTACTACTACTACTACTACTACTACTACTACTACTACTACTACTACTACTACTACTACTACTACTACTACTACTACTACTACTACTACTACTACTACTACTACTACTACTACTACTACTACTACTACTACTACTACTACTACTACTACTACTACTACTACTACTACTACTACTACTACTACTACTACTACTACTACTACTACTACTACTACTACTACTACTACTACTACTACTACTACTACTACTACTACTACTACTACTACTACTACTACTACTACTACTACTACTACTACTACTACTACTACTACTACTACTACTACTACTACTACTACTACTACTACTACTACTACTACTACTACTACTACTACTACTACTACTACTACTACTACTACTACTACTACTACTACTACTACTACTACTACTACTACTACTACTACTACTACTACTACTACTACTACTACTACTACTACTACTACTACTACTACTACTACTACTACTACTACTACTACTACTACTACTACTACTACTACTACTACTACTACTACTACTACTACTACTACTACTACTACTACTACTACTACTACTACTACTACTACTACTACTACTACTACTACTACTACTACTACTACTACTACTACTACTACTACTACTACTACTACTACTACTACTACTACTACTACTACTACTACTACTACTACTACTACTACTACTACTACTACTACTACTACTACTACTACTACTACTACTACTACTACTACTACTACTACTACTACTACTACTACTACTACTACTACTACTACTACTACTACTACTACTACTACTACTACTACTACTACTACTACTACTACTACTACTACTACTACTACTACTACTACTACTACTACTACTACTACTACTACTACTACTACTACTACTACTACTACTACTACTACTACTACTACTACTACTACTACTACTACTACTACTACTACTACTACTACTACTACTACTACTACTACTACTACTACTACTACTACTACTACTACTACTACTACTACTACTACTACTACTACTACTACTACTACTACTACTACTACTACTACTACTACTACTACTACTACTACTACTACTACTACTACTACTACTACTACTACTACTACTACTACTACTACTACTACTACTACTACTACTACTACTACTACTACTACTACTACTACTACTACTACTACTACTACTACTACTACTACTACTACTACTACTACTACTACTACTACTACTACTACTACTACTACTACTACTACTACTACTACTACTACTACTACTACTACTACTACTACTACTACTACTACTACTACTACTACTACTACTACTACTACTACTACTACTACTACTACTACTACTACTACTACTACTACTACTACTACTACTACTACTACTACTACTACTACTACTACTACTACTACTACTACTACTACTACTACTACTACTACTACTACTACTACTACTACTACTACTACTACTACTACTACTACTACTACTACTACTACTACTACTACTACTACTACTACTACTACTACTACTACTACTACTACTACTACTACTACTACTACTACTACTACTACTACTACTACTACTACTACTACTACTACTACACTACTACTACTACTACTACTACTACTACTACTACTACTACTACTACTACTACTACTACTACTACTACTACTACTACTACTACTACTACTACTACTACTACTACTACTACTACTACTACTACTACTACTACTACTACTACTACTACTACTACTACTACTACTACTACTACTACTACTACTACTACTACTACTACTACTACTACTACTACTACTACTACTACTACTACTACTACTACTACTACTACTACTACTACTACTACTACTACTACTACTACTACTACTACTACTACTACTACTACTACTACTACTACTACTACTACTACTACTACTACTACTACTACTACTACTACTACTACTACTACTACTACTACTACTACTACTACTACTACTACTACTACTACTACTACTACTACTACTACTACTACTACTACTACTACTACTACTACTACTACTACTACTACTACTACTACTACTACTACTACTACTACTACTACTACTACTACTACTACTACTACTACTACTACTACTACTACTACTACTACTACTACTACTACTACTACTACTACTACTACTACTACTACTACTACTACTACTACTACTACTACTACTACTACTACTACTACTACTACTACTACTACTACTACTACTACTACTACTACTACTACTACTACTACTACTACTACTACTACTACTACTACTACTACTACTACTACTACTACTACTACTACTACTACTACTACTACTACTACTACTACTACTACTACTACTACTACTACTACTACTACTACTACTACTACTACTACTACTACTACTACTACTACTACTACTACTACTACTACTACTACTACTACTACTACTACTACTACTACTACTACTACTACTACTACTACTACTACTACTACTACTACTACTACTACTACTACTACTACTACTACTACTACTACTACTACTACTACTACTACTACTACTACTACTACTACTACTACTACTACTACTACTACTACTACTACTACTACTACTACTACTACTACTACTACTACTACTACTACTACTACTACTACTACTACTACTACTACTACTACTACTACTACTACTACTACTACTACTACTACTACTACTACTACTACTACTACTACTACTACTACTACTACTACTACTACTACTACTACTACTACTACTACTACTACTACTACTACTACTACTACTACTACTACTACTACTACTACTACTACTACTACTACTACTACTACTACTACTACTACTACTACTACTACTACTACTACTACTACTACTACTACTACTACTACTACTACTACTACTACTACTACTACTACTACTACTACTACTACTACTACTACTACTACTACTACTACTACTACTACTACTACTACTACTACTACTACTACTACTACTACTACTACTACTACTACTACTACTACTACTACTACTACTACTACTACTACTACTACTACTACTACTACTACTACTACTACTACTACTACTACTACTACTACTACTACTACTACTACTACTACTACTACTACTACTACTACTACTACTACTACTACTACTACTACTACTACTACTACTACTACTACTACTACTACTACTACTACTACTACTACTACTACTACTACTACTACTACTACTACTACTACTACTACTACTACTACTACTACTACTACTACTACTACTACTACTACTACTACTACTACTACTACTACTACTACTACTACTACTACTACTACTACTACTACTACTACTACTACTACTACTACTACTACTACTACTACTACTACTACTACTACTACTACTACTACTACTACTACTACTACTACTACTACTACTACTACTACTACTACTACTACTACTACTACTACTACTACTACTACTACTACTACTACTACTACTACTACTACTACTACTACTACTACTACTACTACTACTACTACTACTACTACTACTACTACTACTACTACTACTACTACTACTACTACTACTACTACTACTACTACTACTACTACTACTACTACTACTACTACTACTACTACTACTACTACTACTACTACTACTACTACTACTACTACTACTACTACTACTACTACTACTACTACTACTACTACTACTACTACTACTACTACTACTACTACTACTACTACTACTACTACTACTACTACTACTACTACTACTACTACTACTACTACTACTACTACTACTACTACTACTACTACTACTACTACTACTACTACTACTACTACTACTACTACTACTACTACTACTACTACTACTACTACTACTACTACTACTACTACTACTACTACTACTACTACTACTACTACTACTACTACTACTACTACTACTACTACTACTACTACTACTACTACTACTACTACTACTACTACTACTACTACTACTACTACTACTACTACTACTACTACTACTACTACTACTACTACTACTACTACTACTACTACTACTACTACTACTACTACTACTACTACTACTACTACTACTACTACTACTACTACTACTACTACTACTACTACTACTACTACTACTACTACTACTACTACTACTACTACTACTACTACTACTACTACTACTACTACTACTACTACTACTACTACTACTACTACTACTACTACTACTACTACTACTACTACTACTACTACTACTACTACTACTACTACTACTACTACTACTACTACTACTACTACTACTACTACTACTACTACTACTACTACTACTACTACTACTACTACTACTACTACTACTACTACTACTACTACTACTACTACTACTACTACTACTACTACTACTACTACTACTACTACTACTACTACTACTACTACTACTACTACTACTACTACTACTACTACTACTACTACTACTACTACTACTACTACTACTACTACTACTACTACTACTACTACTACTACTACTACTACTACTACTACTACTACTACTACTACTACTACTACTACTACTACTACTACTACTACTACTACTACTACTACTACTACTACTACTACTACTACTACTACTACTACTACTACTACTACTACTACTACTACTACTACTACTACTACTACTACTACTACTACTACTACTACTACTACTACTACTACTACTACTACTACTACTACTACTACTACTACTACTACTACTACTACTACTACTACTACTACTACTACTACTACTACTACTACTACTACTACTACTACTACTACTACTACTACTACTACTACTACTACTACTACTACTACTACTACTACTACTACTACTACTACTACTACTACTACTACTACTACTACTACTACTACTACTACTACTACTACTACTACTACTACTACTACTACTACTACTACTACTACTACTACTACTACTACTACTACTACTACTACTACTACTACTACTACTACTACTACTACTACTACTACTACTACTACTACTACTACTACTACTACTACTACTACTACTACTACTACTACTACTACTACTACTACTACTACTACTACTACTACTACTACTACTACTACTACTACTACTACTACTACTACTACTACTACTACTACTACTACTACTACTACTACTACTACTACTACTACTACTACTACTACTACTACTACTACTACTACTACTACTACTACTACTACTACTACTACTACTCTACTACTACTACTACTACTACTACTACTACTACTACTACTACTACTACTACTACTACTACTACTACTACTACTACTACTACTACTACTACTACTACTACTACTACTACTACTACTACTACTACTACTACTACTACTACTACTACTACTACTACTACTACTACTACTACTACTACTACTACTACTACTACTACTACTACTACTACTACTACTACTACTACTACTACTACTACTACTACTACTACTACTACTACTACTACTACTACTACTACTACTACTACTACTACTACTACTACTACTACTACTACTACTACTACTACTACTACTACTACTACTACTACTACTACTACTACTACTACTACTACTACTACTACTACTACTACTACTACTACTACTACTACTACTACTACTACTACTACTACTACTACTACTACTACTACTACTACTACTACTACTACTACTACTACTACTACTACTACTACTACTACTACTACTACTACTACTACTACTACTACTACTACTACTACTACTACTACTACTACTACTACTACTACTACTACTACTACTACTACTACTACTACTACTACTACTACTACTACTACTACTACTACTACTACTACTACTACTACTACTACTACTACTACTACTACTACTACTACTACTACTACTACTACTACTACTACTACTACTACTACTACTACTACTACTACTACTACTACTACTACTACTACTACTACTACTACTACTACTACTACTACTACTACTACTACTACTACTACTACTACTACTACTACTACTACTACTACTACTACTACTACTACTACTACTACTACTACTACTACTACTACTACTACTACTACTACTACTACTACTACTACTACTACTACTACTACTACTACTACTACTACTACTACTACTACTACTACTACTACTACTACTACTACTACTACTACTACTACTACTACTACTACTACTACTACTACTACTACTACTACTACTACTACTACTACTACTACTACTACTACTACTACTACTACTACTACTACTACTACTACTACTACTACTACTACTACTACTACTACTACTACTACTACTACTACTACTACTACTACTACTACTACTACTACTACTACTACTACTACTACTACTACTACTACTACTACTACTACTACTACTACTACTACTACTACTACTACTACTACTACTACTACTACTACTACTACTACTACTACTACTACTACTACTACTACTACTACTACTACTACTACTACTACTACTACTACTACTACTACTACTACTACTACTACTACTACTACTACTACTACTACTACTACTACTACTACTACTACTACTACTACTACTACTACTACTACTACTACTACTACTACTACTACTACTACTACTACTACTACTACTACTACTACTACTACTACTACTACTACTACTACTACTACTACTACTACTACTACTACTACTACTACTACTACTACTACTACTACTACTACTACTACTACTACTACTACTACTACTACTACTACTACTACTACTACTACTACTACTACTACTACTACTACTACTACTACTACTACTACTACTACTACTACTACTACTACTACTACTACTACTACTACTACTACTACTACTACTACTACTACTACTACTACTACTACTACTACTACTACTACTACTACTACTACTACTACTACTACTACTACTACTACTACTACTACTACTACTACTACTACTACTACTACTACTACTACTACTACTACTACTACTACTACTACTACTACTACTACTACTACTACTACTACTACTACTACTACTACTACTACTACTACTACTACTACTACTACTACTACTACTACTACTACTACTACTACTACTACTACTACTACTACTACTACTACTACTACTACTACTACTACTACTACTACTACTACTACTACTACTACTACTACTACTACTACTACTACTACTACTACTACTACTACTACTACTACTACTACTACTACTACTACTACTACTACTACTACTACTACTACTACTACTACTACTACTACTACTACTACTACTACTACTACTACTACTACTACTACTACTACTACTACTACTACTACTACTACTACTACTACTACTACTACTACTACTACTACTACTACTACTACTACTACTACTACTACTACTACTACTACTACTACTACTACTACTACTACTACTACTACTACTACTACTACTACTACTACTACTACTACTACTACTACTACTACTACTACTACTACTACTACTACTACTACTACTACTACTACTACTACTACTACTACTACTACTACTACTACTACTACTACTACTACTACTACTACTACTACTACTACTACTACTACTACTACTACTACTACTACTACTACTACTACTACTACTACTACTACTACTACTACTACTACTACTACTACTACTACTACTACTACTACTACTACTACTACTACTACTACTACTACTACTACTACTACTACTACTACTACTACTACTACTACTACTACTACTACTACTACTACTACTACTACTACTACTACTACTACTACTACTACTACTACTACTACTACTACTACTACTACTACTACTACTACTACTACTACTACTACTACTACTACTACTACTACTACTACTACTACTACTACTACTACTACTACTACTACTACTACTACTACTACTACTACTACTACTACTACTACTACTACTACTACTACTACTACTACTACTACTACTACTACTACTACTACTACTACTACTACTACTACTACTACTACTACTACTACTACTACTACTACTACTACTACTACTACTACTACTACTACTACTACTACTACTACTACTACTACTACTACTACTACTACTACTACTACTACTACTACTACTACTACTACTACTACTACTACTACTACTACTACTACTACTACTACTACTACTACTACTACTACTACTACTACTACTACTACTACTACTACTACTACTACTACTACTACTACTACTACTACTACTACTACTACTACTACTACTACTACTACTACTACTACTACTACTACTACTACTACTACTACTACTACTACTACTACTACTACTACTACTACTACTACTACTACTACTACTACTACTACTACTACTACTACTACTACTACTACTACTACTACTACTACTACTACTACTACTACTACTACTACTACTACTACTACTACTACTACTACTACTACTACTACTACTACTACTACTACTACTACTACTACTACTACTACTACTACTACTACTACTACTACTACTACTACTACTACTACTACTACTACTACTACTACTACTACTACTACTACTACTACTACTACTACTACTACTACTACTACTACTACTACTACTACTACTACTACTACTACTACTACTACTACTACTACTACTACTACTACTACTACTACTACTACTACTACTACTACTACTACTACTACTACTACTACTACTACTACTACTACTACTACTACTACTACTACTACTACTACTACTACTACTACTACTACTACTACTACTACTACTACTACTACTACTACTACTACTACTACTACTACTACTACTACTACTACTACTACTACTACTACTACTACTACTACTACTACTACTACTACTACTACTACTACTACTACTACTACTACTACTACTACTACTACTACTACTACTACTACTACTACTACTACTACTACTACTACTACTACTACTACTACTACTACTACTACTACTACTACTACTACTACTACTACTACTACTACTACTACTACTACTACTACTACTACTACTACTACTACTACTACTACTACTACTACTACTACTACTACTACTACTACTACTACTACTACTACTACTACTACTACTACTACTACTACTACTACTACTACTACTACTACTACTACTACTACTACTACTACTACTACTACTACTACTACTACTACTACTACTACTACTACTACTACTACTACTACTACTACTACTACTACTACTACTACTACTACTACTACTACTACTACTACTACTACTACTACTACTACTACTACTACTACTACTACTACTACTACTACTACTACTACTACTACTACTACTACTACTACTACTACTACTACTACTACTACTACTACTACTACTACTACTACTACTACTACTACTACTACTACTACTACTACTACTACTACTACTACTACTACTACTACTACTACTACTACTACTACTACTACTACTACTACTACTACTACTACTACTACTACTACTACTACTACTACTACTACTACTACTACTACTACTACTACTACTACTACTACTACTACTACTACTACTACTACTACTACTACTACTACTACTACTACTACTACTACTACTACTACTACTACTACTACTACTACTACTACTACTACTACTACTACTACTACTACTACTACTACTACTACTACTACTACTACTACTACTACTACTACTACTACTACTACTACTACTACTACTACTACTACTACTACTACTACTACTACTACTACTACTACTACTACTACTACTACTACTACTACTACTACTACTACTACTACTACTACTACTACTACTACTACTACTACTACTACTACTACTACTACTACTACTACTACTACTACTACTACTACTACTACTACTACTACTACTACTACTACTACTACTACTACTACTACTACTACTACTACTACTACTACTACTACTACTACTACTACTACTACTACTACTACTACTACTACTACTACTACTACTACTACTACTACTACTACTACTACTACTACTACTACTACTACTACTACTACTACTACTACTACTACTACTACTACTACTACTACTACTACTACTACTACTACTACTACTACTACTACTACTACTACTACTACTACTACTACTACTACTACTACTACTACTACTACTACTACTACTACTACTACTACTACTACTACTACTACTACTACTACTACTACTACTACTACTACTACTACTACTACTACTACTACTACTACTACTACTACTACTACTACTACTACTACTACTACTACTACTACTACTACTACTACTACTACTACTACTACTACTACTACTACTACTACTACTACTACTACTACTACTACTACTACTACTACTACTACTACTACTACTACTACTACTACTACTACTACTACTACTACTACTACTACTACTACTACTACTACTACTACTACTACTACTACTACTACTACTACTACTACTACTACTACTACTACTACTACTACTACTACTACTACTACTACTACTACTACTACTACTACTACTACTACTACTACTACTACTACTACTACTACTACTACTACTACTACTACTACTACTACTACTACTACTACTACTACTACTACTACTACTACTACTACTACTACTACTACTACTACTACTACTACTACTACTACTACTACTACTACTACTACTACTACTACTACTACTACTACTACTACTACTACTACTACTACTACTACTACTACTACTACTACTACTACTACTACTACTACTACTACTACTACTACTACTACTACTACTACTACTACTACTACTACTACTACTACTACTACTACTACTACTACTACTACTACTACTACTACTACTACTACTACTACTACTACTACTACTACTACTACTACTACTACTACTACTACTACTACTACTACTACTACTACTACTACTACTACTACTACTACTACTACTACTACTACTACTACTACTACTACTACTACTACTACTACTACTACTACTACTACTACTACTACTACTACTACTACTACTACTACTACTACTACTACTACTACTACTACTACTACTACTACTACTACTACTACTACTACTAATAATAATAATAATAATAATAATAATAATAATAATAATAATAAATTACTCAACTACTGAAATACTGATCATAATTCAATATTCATTTAATTTCATAAACATAGTTTCCTTTATCATCTTATTTCACTTGGTTCTTATCAGCTGCTTATCACCTGTGATATTTATAAACTGTAATTACATAATAGATTTATATTATTTACATAAACTAAGATTAAATTGGTTAAGTTCTATTGAAGATACGTTAGTATAGTATACTATAGTATGAGTGTAAAAAAAAAATTTCATAGACTCAATATTGATTATAACGAGAGTTGAAACGGTCAGAAACAAGTGATTATTACATAATCACTAAACATTGATCAAATGAAAATAAGCAAAACTTAGTTAATAAAATAAGATTACTAACCTGAAAGATAATGATGTAATAAATGTAAGAAAGAGTTGGAAAAAAGATTATCTTTTAGATATAATGAAGGAATATTTGTCACAAATACAATGAAAGATTAATATTGGACCACCTTTGGAAACCTGGAAGAACTGGACGGCCATTTCATCCTGTTGTGGGACTCCTCAGCAGTGCGCATCCACGATCCCACTCGCGAACCCAGGGCGTTCAGTCTTGCGCGCGAATGCTTAACCAACTAGACCACTGAACCGGCATCCAATGGTGATAGTTTCTGAGACCAACCAATCCACGAAATCGCGCGACCAACTTCCGTTGTACTGAGGTAGATACCTGTCTCTACCCGACACAGATTAGCTCCACTGGTCACGGCTTTTCACCAGAACTCTGAGAATTCGTTCACGAAGCTAGTCACTAGTGAGAACATGTTAATTACTGGTATAGGAGTCCCACAATAGAACGAAACGACCGTCCATTGCTTCCAGGTTTCCAAAGGTGATCTAACATCAATCGGTTCATGATCTCAATCAAAAACTTAATAATCTTCACAGCCCCTATACTAGAAATAATAATAACCTACTTCTTTTGAACAGATAAATCAAGTTTTCGACACCTGATAGCAACAGTTTCAGCAAACATCAGAAGACTGGAGTATGATAGTTTACTAATGAACTTGAAAGATTGTAAGATATCAATCTGATGTACTATATCCAGGAGATTTCTAGTATTTGCACTATCCAAAGTCGTTCTTTTTCTTATTCTGAAGTTTTTTGGAACATGTCCAAAAAATCTAAGATAAACCCTCCTTTCTGTTCAGTCAATGTAACTACTTTGGCAGTTACACGTGAATTTATAAACACAGTTAGCGGTAACATGAAAGGAGTGCTTGTTGACTTATACTTAGGCTATTGAACATGTCTTATACATAATTAATAGTTTAGTTGATGGGTAAGTTCTGGTCAATGCAGTGTTAAGCCTCCTGATAATTATGATTGCAACGTCATCAACTTTGAAGTTGAGATTTATAGATATTGGTTTTTTATTGACTGTAGTCAATTCTATCTTGCTTCCGTAGGTTTTTTTTAAGTATTTGTCAATAAATTTCTATGGGTAGCAGTTGTCTGTTAGACAATTTTCAGCGTTCATCAATTCTTCCAGTTCGTTGGTGGTATATATCTCTTCTACCTTATAAAATAGTGTCTTAACCAATGCCTTCTCTTAACTATTGAAATTCAGGTAAAAACTATTCCAAGTAACCGAAAGTTGAACTGTCCCGTCTTCCCTACGTTTTATGGCAATATCAAGGAAGTGAAACATGTTATTCTGTTCACGTCCCATAGTAAATTGTATGTTAGCAATAAGCATTATTGAAGAGTTCTAACAAGTGGATTGCATGCCACTTACTGTTGCAGACAATAAACGTATGATCAATATTTCTGGAACATTCTGTCGTTTCTCTAATCGCTTGTTTAAACACAGTGTTTTCAAGAAACCCCACAAAAATATCTGTTATAATTGGACCAAATTATTTTATAAAACCATGACCAAGAGCAATAAGGTTTGTAGAATAAAACGGATTCATCAGTTTATTTCACAGTTTTTCATCAACTGCATACAATCTAAAACTACAATTACTTACACAATTATCATTATTAACAACTATTTGGCATACTTTAGTTTGTGAAGTTCTTTTATCTTCATATTGTTGTAAATGGAATTGATTGAGATCATGAACCGATTGATGTTAGACCACCATTGAAAACCTGGAAGCACTGGACGCCTGTTTCGTCCTATTGTGAGTCTCCTCAGTAGTGCGCATTCACGAGCCCGCTTCTCAAGATCCGAACCCAGGACCTACCAGTCTCGCGCTCGAGTACTTAACCATTAGACTACTGAGCCGGCCGACATCCAAGGGTGTTAATGCCTAACTTCAGCTAATCAATGTGATTGCACGACACACACCATTGTCATCAGTGAGTTACTATCTCACAAGAGACCCGGTTGAACTCCACTGGTCAATGCTTCTCCCTAGAACTCCAGGATATACATCTTGAAGCCAATCACTAGTATAAAAATGTTAAATTAGTATCAGAATGAGTTCGAATCGCGCGAGGCAGGATCATGGATGCGCACTGTTCAGTAGTCGCACAATAAAACGAAATGGTCGTTCAGTGCTTCCAGGTTTTCTATGGTGGTCTAGCTTCAGTTAACTTATGATCTAAACTATTGAAATCACTACAATCTCCATAAAACTCCTTCTGATACGAATTCATATTGATTTCTAACAGTATGTATAATCAGGAATGAATAAGTTTTATCTTATTAGTAAACAGACAGTTCTACTGTATGGGGCAGAAACCTGGAGAACTACAAAAGCCATCATCCAGAAAATACAGGTGTTTATTAACAATTGTCTACGCAAAATACTTCGGATCCGTTGGCAAGACACTATTAGCAACAATCTACTGTGGGAAAGAACAAAACAGATCCCAGCGGAGGAAGAAATCAGAAAGAAGCGCTGGAAGTGGATAGGACACACATTGAGGAAAGCACCGAACTGCGTCACAAGACAAGCCCTCACATGGAATCCTGAAGGTCAAAGGAAAAGAGGAAGACCAAAGAACACATTACGCCGGGAAATGGAGATAGACATGAGAAAAATGAACAAGAATTGGATGGAACTAGAAAAGAAGGCCCAGGACAGAGTGGGTTGGAGAATGCTGGTCGGCGGCCTATGCTCTATTGGGAGTAACAGGCGTAAGTAAGTAAGTAAGTATTAGTAAACAATAATTGGAAATTATAAAAAAAAAACAGTTCTAATTGATTTGATTCAAAACTATAGGCTAACGGAGATTGAAGGTACAACATGTAAATGACCATAGTATTAAAATGTTGTAACCTTTTTGGCATTCATCAATAGAATTGAATATGTTTATGATTAAATGACATACCTTTGAAAAGGAATCAAATTTTCACATTAATAATCATTTATGATGATTAAGGACAAGCATTTCAGCTAAGGATTCAACTAATTACAGTTTGGCTATACTTATCTTCTATTCAAAAAGATTTGGGAGGAGGAACAAGTGCCAATGGACTGGAAAGAAGGACACCTCGTCAAGATTCCAAAGAAAGGAGATCTGAGCAAATGTGAAAACTACAGAGGCGTAACACTACTGTCAATACCAGGGAAAGTCTTCAACAGATTGTTGCTAAACCGGATGAAGGATGCAGTAGACGCCCAACTTCGAGATCAACAAGCTGGATTCCGTAAGGATCGGTCGTGCACAGACCAAATTGCAACACTACGGATCATCGTCGAACAATCAGTTGAGTGGAACTCATCATTATACATCAACTTCATTGATTATGAAAAGGCATTCGAAAACTTCTTCGACACTACGGAATTCCTGAGAAGATTGTCAATATTATCCGGAACTCATACGACGGACTACAGTGCAAAGTAGTGCATGGTGGACAGCTGACAGATGCATTCCAAGTAAGGACCGGAGTCAGACAAGGCTGTTTACTCTCTCCCTTCCTTTTTCTCCTGGTGGTCGACTGGATTATGAAGACCTCAACATCTGAAGGAAAACACGGAATACAATGGACAGCTCAGAATCAATTAGGCGATTTGGACTTCGCAGATGACCTAGCCCTCCTATCACATACACACGAACAGATGCAGATGAAGACAGCCAGTGTAGCAGCAGTCTCTGCATCAGTAGGCCTCAGTATACACAAAGGGAAAACCAAGGTCCTCAAATTCAAAGCGGAGAACAGCAATCCAATCACTCTTGATGGCGAAATTCTGGAAGATGTAGAACCCTTCACATACCTGGGAAGCATCATCGATGAACAAGGAGGATCAGATGCCGACGTAAAGGCGAGGATTGGCAAAGCAAGGGCCGCATTCCTACAATTGAAGAACATATACAACTCAAAACAACTATCTGTCAACCCATTTCAAAATCAGAATCTTCAGTACGAACGTCAAGGCAGTTCTACTATACGGAGCTGAAACTTGGAGAACTACTACAACCATCATCAAGAAAGTACAAGTATTTATAAATAGCTGTCTTCGCAAGATACTCAACATCCATTGGCCGGATACCATCAGCAACAGCCTTCTATGGGAGAGAACAAACCAACTTCCAGCTGAGAAGAAATTAGGAAAAGACGATGGAAATGGGTAGGACATACATTCCGCAAATCGTCAAACTGCATCACGAGGCAAGCCCTAACTTGGAATCCTGAAGGGAAGCGAAAAAGAGGAAGGCCAAAGAACACATTGCGTCGGATAATAGAAGCAGATATGAAAACGATGAATTACAACTGGACGGAGCTAGAAAGGATTGCCCTGGACAGGGTTGGATGGAGAATGCTGGTGAGCGGCCTATGCTCCTTCACGAGGAGTAACAGGCGTAAGTAAGTAAGTCTTAAATAATATTTTTTCTTAAATTTTAGATCGTAAAAGATTTTCATGAATTACTTCTAGCTGTTCAAAGATGGTTGCTTTGAAAATGAATAATCGTATCGTCTATTTTCTGATTTCCAGATACAAAATCGTCCAAGCACCTTATAGATTTTCATTAACGATGAGAAATCAATACGTGTTCTTTAAATTCCTTCGTTTCATATATGTTGTCTTTTGATTGCCTGGATAGAG